CAATTAGGTCGGCATGTCTCACCAACATAACATCGACCACATGAGCAAACAATGTTATAGCGAATGAATGTCGGGGGGCCCAAGTGTCCGCTCATGCCGGCTTACCTCCGGAAGGGTGGATCGGTTGTTGCGATTGATGTGATTGGTGCGGCTGGCCGTGGCTGTACATGTGGCCGGGATAGGCGTCGTTGAGGCTGGCCGGGTTCGTCTGCATCAGACAGGGCCGCATGGCAGCATACAAGCCGGCCGAGGTGGCGGCCGACGCCGGTACCGCCGAGTGAAGGCTGGCCACAGATGAGCTGGTCAGGCCAACAACTCGGGCTAATGGACCATTGGCTGAGGCTAGGCCGGTGCTGATTGGTCCGCTAGAACTGACACAGCCGATTGGTCCATTCGGTAGGCCAATCGCGGTGACGCTGGAAACGACTGCCGCCATTGCGGCGTTAGTCGCAGCCGCGGCAACTGCTACTGCCGCGTAGTCTCGGCGCTTTTTCGACTTTCTCTTGCGAGTCTGTATCGCGTCTTTGCGCATTGAAACTGGACGGGAACGCTGGAAAATGGGCAAAAATTGATAGAAATGGTTATCAAAGATTTGATGATAAACTGGGTTTCGAAGAATTCTTAGTGATATATTGTTAATGGACTTTCCATTTAGAAGGAAAAGTTGGAAGGAAGGAATTTGTGAAACGGTCTTACCAAAAAATGAAGGGGGAATATATGCGAAGAAAAGTTGGGTTTCGAGGAGTCTCTTGTTTCATAATTGTTGAGCTTACTTCCATTTCGAGTGTTTGGTGAAGAGATTTAAAAGTCGATTCCACCAGAAGACAACGGCGGATTCCTCTTGACCAGCTGTCGATTGGCTTTAATGGAGGATTCATGTTGACGCTGCTTCCGAGTTAATCTGCTTCGATTCCGGTAAAAAGGTGAAAAGCTTTCGTCCGTCATCTGACGAACATCACCAGAACAAGGTATCAACGTCACAACCAAATTTAAGCTAACGAGTCAAGAAAAGTATGGAATCTTGATCTGATGATATTTGTCACAGTACAGACGAAAGCTTAGTACATTTTCATCAGGGTTGCAGAACAATGAGTCGCCTAGATTAACACGAATGTTGGAAATGGAACCGAATGAAATCGGTATTTCAGGCAGAAAAGAAACGGATCTAAGGGCCGAAGAGGAAGATTCGAATAGGAAGCTCAAGTCGGATCAGTAAATCGAGTGGGAGGTGGGCAAATCAAACGGCAAGTGGGATGACATCACATTCAAATAGATAAAAATGCATACTTTTTTGATGAGTGAAATATAAACAATAGGGCGGTAATGAGTTAAGAGGGTCGGGACAGCCCAACCGTTACGGCAGACATTTTAGTAAGGGATAGACTTTTCTTGTCTTTTAGACGAGTTGCAGCTTGTTGGGTAGAATGGCAAGACTCATTGTCGATGAAAAATACGATTGGAATGTACCAAGTCCACGATCCGATGCTG